ATATGAAAACTCGCAGTTCCATTACTCGCAACAGGGGCAGAGGGAGCAATTCGGGTTGGGAGATCAATGTTGGTAAAAGACGTCGTGTCAACAAAGCTCGAAAGGAGTTGTTTCCTATCTTGTGGTGCGATCGGCTCAGCGAACTTGGGCGGAGAAGGGTCTACTCGTGTAACTGTGCCTGCTTGCATGGCCATGACACCGGATTGATAGTAGTCCGCTCCATTGGTTTCGAAAGTGGCGACGCAGTTTTGGTTCCAAAAGTCTAGCGAGTCGGTAAAGTGGGGTACTGTTATACGAGAGATGAAAGGGACGTTGATGGTTTCTGGCTCGGTAGAATTAGCTGGGATAACGGTCAGGCTGAGAGTGTTGTTGGATGGTGGGAGACTTCGAGCAGCAAAGTCACCCATACGATACGTCCATCCTGTTCCTCCACGGATATAAGAGGAAAAGAATGAATTTTCACGTTGAGAGCGTCCTTGCCAAGAGCCGATCACTTTCGCGTTTTCTTCAACTGCTATCCAAGGGTCCAACCCGTCGATAGCAATCACTTGGGCACTTGAGTACTACCAAAAAGATTGGTATTTGCATTTAAATGAGAAAACAGATGACGTTAGGGAAGACCTTCACCGACCTTGGTGAAGTTGAACCCGGCCAAGCCCTGCCACTGGTCCAAAAAGGGAGCGAATTCTTTGGATGCCACCTCGAATGCCTCGGGGGCAATAAAGATAGTTTGATTGGTCTGTTGGGATCCAGAAGCCAAGTTGACAAGTGGAAATGGAAGATAGGAAATCTAGTTGTAAAGTAAGAACATTTTTATCATCTCAAAGAGAGGGGCCCACATATAAACTATCATCTATAGAGACGGAATGAGATTCAGCTGTCATTGGCGCCGAGCCCGGCACTCACAGCAATAGTCTACAGCAAAGCGTTAGTTGCAAGATTTCCGAATGCAACCAGAGACGCTTACTAATATATGTGCAGTGTCCATCGAAAAGTTTTTTCACTATAAACGTACACGCCCTGAGTTCAGTATCTCCTAAAGGCGCGGCAGACCACTAACCTTGGCTCGACACGCTATTTTTGAAGAAATTAGCGGCGATGTCCCATCATAGATATCAGAAAACGTACTCTTTATGGACCTCATCTGGATATTGGTGAAAGGTAGATCAGAAAGTGTTCAGGTTGGGGAGGAATGCCTTACAGTCGCTAGAATACGTCGACCCCTTTATCCTCTGGAGCTCAGCTTGAATATCCACTTGCACATCAGGAAAGACGGTGGATGAAAGTTGATAATTTGTAGAAGTATGAAAGTTGAGTGACTTGCTAATTACATCGGCGATCTGAGTGGCCGAGTTAACCCCGTCAGTATCAACAAAGACTACTCTCGGTGACATCTCACATTGTCGCGAAGGGTTGAATTAAAGTTAAAGTGACTGCGAGTGCGTCGTCAACTGGCACCGAAGGACTATTCCACACGAAAACTCACTTGAAGCAGGCAAGCACTTTAGATGGAACAGCAAATGTCTGGTTGGCAATAGCAGCACACGGGTCGGCGTCCTGTCTTTGCCAAAGATTTATGCCTCTCTCCCCATATACAACTCCGGCAAGGCCGACCGTCTTTCCTGATGTGCAAGTGGATGTTTTAGCTGAGCTCCAGCGGATAAAGGGGTCGACGTATTCTAGCGACTGTAAGGTATTACCCCCCAACGCGGACCCTTTCTGATCTATCTTCCGCCAATGTCCAGATGAGGTCCATAAAGAGTACGTCTTGTGATATCTGTAATGGGACGCCGCCGGAGTTGTATATGGGGAGAGAGGCATAAATCTTTGGCAA